TACTTGAATGTCCAAGGGGCAACTGAAGCCCAACATGTTCATAACTGAATGCATAATTTTTACCAATATTTCCATTCTTGTTGAGTTCTCTCTGTTTGTATAATAGTGACACCATAATTTATGCAAACGCCTAAATTAGTATCTTTGGGAAATTTTTGTCTATTTCTCTCCACTTTGTGAGAAGTCGTGATGAATCTTCCCTTGCAAAATCTTGCTATTTCTGTTGCTTGGAGGTACTCACAGTAGCACTGCTCATGGTTTTTAAAAATCATTCATTAAGCATTGTGATTGTCTTCTGCAGCTAACCTGCCTCTAGTCTCTGCAACTCCTGTCAGTTCTGCCAGTGCTCACCATATTGTGATTATCTTTGTAAGTCAGCACTTTGATTATTTCAATCTTGTGCCAAAATGAAATAAAAATATTGAGTGTCTCCTAATTGGCCTCCCATAATGATCAAGCTCCAGATTTTGGCATTTGAGGGCTTCTATACTGAGCCAATTCAGCATTGATTTGAGTCTATGCTGCAGTCCCATGGGGAGGGGCATTGGGACCTCTGAGACCCGGTGCAAGTCCTCCACATGACATTCAGGGATAAGGGAACATTCTTTCTCTGAGCTCAGTAAGTTGTATGTGCAGCGCTTAGATGACTTCTAAGAGTTCAGCAGTGGCATTTACATGCCTTATTGATGTTTTCCCTGTCCTACAGTCAGGTCTACAAATAAAAACATTAACACTAAATAAGCCTTTGCAGAGCAGAATTCTGTTGGAATATCAAGTACAGGTTCCAGGAAAAGTGGAAAAGGAATCCTCATTCTTTTATTATACAAATATTTACTGAGTACTTACTATGTAAGCCTTGTATTGCACTAAGTGCTATAGAAATAGCACTGAAGAAAATAGACAAAATCCCTGTCATTTTGGAGCTTAGATTCAAATTTATGTAGGTGCATTGCAGGAAAACATAAACAGACAAAAAATGTTCAGTATTTCATCTCATGATAGGTGCTAGGAAGAACCTACTGTGGATGTAGGAAAGATCATCTTGCTTTTCTATGTGGAGATGTGCACATTTGATAGGAAACCCAAATGTATGTAAAATGGTCTACTTCCAATTAAAAATTCTTGTTCATCTTCTTATGGCTGGCACTTGAAGGATTGCTCCTGTGTTAGCATATCTAAGTGGTCAGCCAATGATTGGACAGAAGTTGAACTCAAACACCTGAAGTCACTAGGGCTTCTGATTGCTGCTGGGGCATCTGAGCTCAGTAGGGGAGTGTGTTCAAAACTCAGGTCATGTTCAACTATGCCTCAGTTTTCAATTTATCTTGTGGGCTTTCACATGTCTTATGTGCATATTTGCAGCTTCTGGTCTGCTAGGAATGTGTGGATAACTTGGGTTTTTGCCGGTCTCTGCTGTGCATTCCTGCAGAGCCAGTGTAGAGTATGCTTGCTCTAAGCATGACCACGGCCTCAGGCTAGCAGAATCACCAACCCTGTTTGGTTCCTGTCACTGAGAGTAACATTTCCACAACCCACAACTCTGAGATGGGTGTTGCCACCTGTTCACAATTGAGTGAGAACCTTTTGTTTGTGCTGCATTGCTGCTAGTTCTAGTGGCCTGGGCCATTTTTACATAACCTCACATCACCAAGTGGGTTCAGGGGGGCAGAGGCTGTTGATTGGAGGAGGCCTATGCAAAAATGACACAGATTCCCACTGTTCTTACATATTTTTTATACTCATATGCCTCTCCCTGACTTGTTTGCTTATGATTGATAATTATGAAGTTGTGCACTGTCATGAGAGCAGTGGTGGGACATACTCTGTATTCACCTTGCCTTCAACACATTGTAGAACCTACTCAATTCTGGGTGTCCCAGTCTTTATTCTTGGAGGAGAAAGAATGAGACCCTCCTGACTTAAAGAAAATTGTGAGAAAAACCAGTCTCAACTGTGATCCTCTAGCCCCTGCCTCTGAACCATTTTCTACAAATAAACCAAACTTAGTTTTGTGTCAAAACAAGGATCTAGTAATATTTAAATTACTACAGAAGGTTGAATGTACTTGCTTTTTCAAGAATAGAATACTACTCAGTAATAAAAGGAACAAAGTATTGATATTTGTGACAACTTGGATGGACCTGAAAGGCGCTATGATAGTGAAACGGAAAGTCAATATCAAAGATTACCTATTGCATGAGTGCATTTATCTCCTCAAAATGACCAAACATATAGAGATGAAGAATAGGCTGGTGATTGCCAAGGACAGGGATGAAAGTGGTAAGGGATGGATATGACCACACAGGGGTGTATAACAGTCTGTTTATGGTAGTGAAACAATTCTGTATCCTGATTGTTCTGGTGGTTACATAAATATGTACATGGGATTGAAATGTAAATGCATAGGTCTTCACATATATACATGCACATATGCACACAAATAAGTGCATGTTAAACTGCTGAAAGCTGAGTAAGGTCTGTAGATTAACATTATTGTATGATGTCAATTTCTTAGTTTTGCTATTATTCTACATTTGTAGAAAATGCCACTATTAGAGGAAGCTGGGTGAAGAGTTAAACATCTATGTATTATTTTTGCAAGTTCCTATAACTATAATCATTTAAAAATAAAGTTAAAAAATAGTTGTCTTGTCATAAGCACAAGCACAAATTCATATATACTTGGAATTTTCCAGTCATACTTTCTTGAAATGGTAGACCACTGACAGTGATTTTTCTTACAGATTTGATTTTAACCAGTTAAAGGCAAAGACATATTGAGTGAGAACAACCCAAGGTTATTACATTTATATGAAATAGAGGATCATTCTATATTATAAACTTAAAAAAAATTGAAATGAATTAAAGATATCTTTTTTCTTTATGTCTATAAAATATGTACAATTAAATAATGATTATTTAAAAGGACTCAAAATATTAAAAATGAGCATAACATTTATTCCGCTGTGATCTGAGAAGATACATGGTATGATTTCTATTTTTTTAAATTTCTTGAGGTTTACTTTGTATCCTAGTATATGGTCAGTCTTAGAGAATGTCCTGTGAGCTAATGAGAAAAATGTATATTCAGTGGATTTGGGGTAGAATGTCCTGTAAATGTCAGTCAGACCCAATTGTTGGTATTGGCACAAAAATAGGAATATTGACCAATGGAACAGATGTGAGAATCCTGATATAAAACCATCCTCATATAGCCATCTAATCTTTGACAAAGCAGACAAAAACATACACTGGGAAAAAGAATCCCTTTTCAATAAATGGTGCTGGGAAAACTGGATAGCCACTTGTAGAAGGCTGAAGCAGGACCCACACCTTTCACCTCTCACAAAAATCAACTCACACTGGACAACAGAATTAAACCTAAGGTATGAAACTATTAGAATTCTAGAGGAAAATGTTGCAAACACTCTCCTAGACATTGGCCTAGGCAAAGAGTTTATGAAGAAGTCCCCAAAGGCAATCACAGCAGCAACAAAAATAAATAAATGGGACATGATCAAACTGAAAAGCTTCTGCACAGCCAAAGAAATAGTCATGAAAGTAAGCAGACAACCTACAGAATGGGAGAAAATTTTTGCATCCTACGCATCTGATAAGGGACTGATAACTAGAATATACTTAGAACTCACGAAAATCAGCAAGAAAAAAATCAAATAACCCCATTGAAAAGTGGGCAAAAGACTTGAACATACACTTTTCTAAAGAAGACAGAAGAATGGCCAACAAACATATGAAAAAATGCTCAACATCTCTAATCATTAGGGAAATGCAAATCAAAACCACAATGAGATATCACTTATGAGAATGGCCTTTACCAAAAAGTCTCTAAACAATAAATGTTGGCGTGGATGCGGAGAGAGAGGAACACTCCTACACTGCTGGTGGGACTGCAAACTAGTTCAACCTCTGTGGAAAGCAATATGGAGATACCTTAAGGTGATACAAGTGAATCTACCATTTGATCCAGCAATCCCATTACTGGGCATCTACCCAAAAGACCCAATAACACTCTACAAAAAAGACACCTGCACTCGAATGTTTATAGCAGCACAATTCATAATTGCAAGGCTATAGAAACAGCCCCAATGCCCATCAATCCAAGAATGGATTAATAAAATGTGGTATATGTAAACCATGGAGTACTATTCAGCTCTAAGAAACAACGGTGATATAGCACATCTTATATTTTCCTGGTTAGAGCTGGAACCCATACTACTAAGTGAAGTATCCCAAGAATGGAAAAACAAACACCACATATACTCACCAGCAAACTGGTATTAACTGAGCAGCACCTAAATGGACACATAGGAACTACAGTATTGGGTATCGAGCAGGTGGGAGGGGGGCGGGTATATACATACATAATGAGTGAGATGTGCACCATCAGGAAGATGATCATGCTGGAAGCTCAGACTTGTGGGGGGTGGGGGGGAGGGGCACTTTTTAAAACCTTAAAATTTGTACCCCCATAATATGCTGAAATAAAAAAATGAGCATAACAAATAAACTTTATTAAATTGTACATAAATTCTTTCTAAAGCTAATATACTGCCTGGAATTATAATTAGCTAAAATTTCAATGACATTAATTATATTTACATATTTATAAATGACAACAGAGTCTCCTTTCTCCTATACGCTGTGGATTATATAATCCCTGATGGGAAGCTCACATCTACTATCATAAATTAGGATGTAAACACAGGCATCATAATTTATTCCCTGCAGAGTTTACCATGATAGGGGAGGTCTTAGGGGAGACCTAATCCTGGATTTCTAATTACATCCAAAAACTTATCAGGCTTAAGCAAATACCATGTGCTCTATGACATGGTGCCTCTGCTGTCAAGTCTGTGGTTTTCCTTTTTATCCTTTTGGCAGATTTATAAATAGAATTTTGATCTGCACCTCAGAATGACCCCTGGAACATTCAGGTTGTAAGATGTATGCTCGATGCTCTTGCAGGGAGGAGGAGATTCTGTGACTCCGTCTGGTGGGATTTGATACCTGAAAAGCCTGTGCTTCCTCCAGGACAGTGGAGGTGAGACACACAAAGATCAGCACTGAGTGGAAGGTGTGTGAGTTAATGTAGTTTTTATTTTTCTCTCTCGTATGTTGCCGAAAACTGAGGAAGGTATTATACTCAATAATAAGAAACTGAGCAGTTTGGATCTCTGAGTCTATTGCCTGCATTTCCCTCATCATATTTTCTCTTTTGGCAACATCCTCAGTCTAGGAGCAAGACAGCTGTAGCAGTTCCGGGTGACACATCCAGAGCATAGCAACATCGGGGAAGGAGAAGGGATTGTCTCTTCGTTAAAAAAAATTAATGTGTGCTATACATATATAAGAGATTAAGTATCATAAGAATATAGTTTGGTAAATGTTAACAAACTTAGTAACTAATACAACTAGCAGCCAAATTAATTATGTTTCTCTCATGCCCTCCTACAAAAAGCTGTGAAAGCACATTCACTTTCCTTTCTTCATCCTCTGTCTAGCCAGCATGGATATAGGAGCAAGTGTAGAAATACTGGGTGGTATGGTTAACTATAAATCTTACGTTACCAAGAGATAAATCTTATCTTTCCAATACCTGTTATCAATTGCTGACTTCATGCATTCTTATAGTAAAGTACTAGAAACCACATAGATTATAGTAAAGCAGTAGAAACCATATAGATTCCTAGACTCTGTCTAGCAAGCAGAGTATCAGTATGGTCTCTGGCCTAAAGGAATCATCTCTTACTTGATGATCACCACAAGGGAACTGAGATGTCTAGTAGAATTATGGAAACATGAGTAGGAACTAGGAAGTGAACATGAAAGAAGAGAGATGAAAGACACATCCCCACAACCCCAGCTTACTGGCAGGTAGGTTTGCACTTCAGCTATTTCACCTCTCTATCTTCTATAAAGGACAGGAGTAATTGTCACATTCAGTTCATGCAGACAAAACACAGAGTGGTTGAATTTTGAGGGGTGGATGTGGCAGTACATTCAGATCCCATGAAACAAAGGAGAATTCACCTGAATTCCACCAGTCTGAGTCCCCTCCTCATAAACTAGAATTTGTCATGAAAGAACTGGGTTCTCTACTGATGGAATTTTCTTCTGTCCTCCCAGATTTTTGAAGATGAAGATGCTGGATAGAAATGATTCCTTATTGACTGAGTTCATTCTTGCTGGATTAACAGATCGTCCAGAGCTCCAACAACTCCTCTTTTACCTGTTCCTAATGATCTACATCGTCACAATGGTGGGCAACCTTGGCTTGATTACTCTTATTGGTCTAAATTCTCACCTCCACACCCCCATGTACTATTTTCTCTTCAACCTCTCTTTCATTGATCTCTGTTATTCTTCTGTTTTCACTCCCAAAATGCTGGTGAACTTTGTATCAAAGAAGAATATCATCTCCTATGTTGGGTGCATGACTCAGCTATTTTTCTTTCTCTTTTTTGTCATCTCTGAATGCTACATGTTGACCTCAATGGCCTATGACCGCTATGTGGCGATCTGTAACCCATTGCTATATAAGGTCACTATGTCCAATCAGGTCTGTTCTGTGTTAACTTTTGCAGCTTATACAATGGGATTTGCTGGAGCCACTGCCCACACAGGGTGCATGCTTAGACTGACCTTCTGCAGTGCTAATGTCATCAACCACTACTTGTGTGACATACTCCCCCTCCTCCAACTGTCTTGCACCAGCACCTATGTCAATGAGGTCGTAGTGCTCATTGTTGTGGGTATTAATATCACAGTTCCCAGTTTCACCATTCTGATTTCTTATGTTTTTATCCTCACCAGCATTCTTCATATCAAATCCACTCAAGGGAGATCAAAAGCCTTCAGTACTTGTAGCTCTCACATCATTGCTCTTTCTCTCTTTTTTGGGTCAGGAGCATTCATGTATCTTAAATATTCTTCTCCTGGATCTATGGACCAGGGAAAAGTTTCTTCTGTTTTCTATACTAACGTGGTGCCAATGCTCAACCCCCTCATCTATAGTTTGAGGAATAAGGATGTCAAAGCTGCACTGAGGAAAGTGCTGGTTAACATTCAGGGGAAACACACATTCTAATTAGAAGCAGTAGAAATGTAAAGAAATTGAAGGACCTCACATTTTTGTTGGTGTTTTGCATGAGGAGATATTGTTCATAACTTTGTTGCTTCCACAGATTGTGTTATATGTGATTTAGCACACTTGTCTTATTCCCCTTATAGCTAATCTTATCTCATTTTTTGTTACCATATCTCTTGCACTTCTCACAAGTTTACTAAATAAGTAACAGCATGTTTATAAAAGGAACATATATACTAACAGTTTTGATTATTGTTTTATAACTTTTATATCCCTTGGGCTATTTTTAATCTGGACAAATTATGATGAATTTTGTAAACTGCAAAAAAGTAAAAATCACAGCCTTTTCATTTAAAAACACAAGTGCCAAATATGATAGAAGCAGTCTCACTTTTATCAATATTGTTACTTGTACAGGCAGCAGGATTCAATGAAATGTCTTCATTACAAACGATGTGTAGCTTAAAGCAGAATCAGATCCTCTTGATCTTGTCCTTTTGTTCTATTCATCTCATCATTTTTCCTCTTATTCATCAAACTATTCTTGTTCTCTTTGAGAATGGCACAATCTGTACCACATGCTGCCTGCTTCTGAGATCCTTTATCATCCCAGTCCATTTAATATTTCAGAGAATAGGTATAACTCCACCTTTTATTGCCACAGACAGCATTAACAGAGGATGCTGAAAGAGATAATACATGTGTCTCAGGATTCCAATAAGGGGGGAGAATAGTTTACAGTATAAAACTTTAACTCATTGCTATCTAAAATGGCATCCAAAATTTTGAAAAAACAACATATAGTTCCTACTGTAAATGGTATTTTTTATTTCTTATATGAAAATACTGTGCATTATGTTAGTAGAAATATTTTAGCTAATGGTTTACTTGTTCAATGGGGTTTACAATGAAAACATGTACATTAATGATAATAGACTATATTACTACAAGTATTTTGTGTGTTATTTAAACTTTGTCTCACCACTAAGACATGAAATATATTTAACATAGAGGTTTTTCCTTATAATTCATCTATGTTTATTTATTTAGGATGTCAGATATTTGTAAGATCAAGAAATGCTTGTTGAATTGGAGTATCTTGTTAGACAACACCAATAATACATTTATTATTATAAATAATGGTTAATAACATATAATAAATAACAATAATTATAAATCAGAAGAACATTGGGGCTTAAGTTCTATTTTTGGAGGTGGACTGTGACAGTCTTAGAAAAGTACTTATCAACTCCCCATCAAGAGAACCAGTGGTGGGGAGTGTAGTTGACTGCAGGACTACAGCTGGTACTTCTTTTGGATCCACCATGATGTTCAGGCAGAGTCCAGACTTAATCTGAAATGCTCTCAGCCAATGACTTAGCAGGGTGGGTGGGACTTAACTAGAGCCAGCCAATTTCTGGGTCTCACATGGGTGTCTTCCGACAGGTAATCTTTGCTTAGAGACTTCCTATCACCCTGACCAAGACTTGTTAGAACTGCACTGTGGTCTGAGATTTGCCTACCCAGTCCTCTCATTTCTTTCTCCTTTCTTAAGTGTCAGACTTTCATCCTGGTCTGAGGCCTTCATCCCTCTCATTTTATCTTTCACAGACATTTACCAAAATAAATGTGTTGCAAGTCTAATCAACTTCCTGGCATCTCCTTCTAATGGGATCCTAAATGACAAAAAGGACTTACATTAACTGACTTTAAAAATTAGTATAAGGTTTTGATTTGCATTTACCTGTTGATTAGTGAGATTGAGCATTTTTTTCACGTTTATTGGCTATTGGTCTATCTTCTTTTGAGAAGCTTCTGTTCATGTCTTTTGTCCACTTTTTAATGGGGTTGTTTGATATTTTCTTGCTGATTTTCTTGAGTTTTTTGTAGGTTCCGGTTATTAGTCCTTTATTGGATGTATAGCTTACGGATATTTTCTCCCATTCTGTAGGTTGTGTATTTGCTCTGTTAATTATTTCCTTGGCTATGCAGAAGCTTTAGCATTTAATAAAGTCCCACTTACTTATTTTTGTTGTTGCTGTGATTGCCATTGGGGTATTCTTCATAAATTCTTTACCTAGGCTGATATGTAAACATGGTATATGTATACCATGAAATAATACTCAGCTACAAAGAAGTATGACTTAGTGCTTTTTGTAACAATTTGTATGGAATTGGAGACCATTATCCTAAGTGAAGTATCTAAAGAATGGAAAAACAAACACCACGTGTACTCACTATTAAATTGGAACTAACTGATGAGCACACATGTGCACAGAAGGAAGTAAATCTCAAAAGAAATCAAGTAGGGTGAAAGGAGGAAGAAGGGATGGGCAAAAACCTACCTAACAGTTATAATGAACACTGACTCAAGCATTATAAAAGTGATCCATGTAACCAAAAACATTTGTACCCCCATAATACTTTGAAATAAAAATAAATTAGCATAAAGCTATGATAAGACAGGTTGGTTTTATTATGAAGATAGGCGAATAAATCCATGGGACAAAACAGAGAATTCAGAAACAGGTCCTCACTCATATAGTCAATTGTTGATCAGGCAACAGAGTAAATCTATAGGGAAAGGAAATACTTTTAAGTAATTGATGCTGGAAATACAGCCTACCCATAAGGAAACAATGAACCTTGGTCTCTACCTCACTCCATACACAAAATTAATCTAAAACAGATCAAAACTATATACAAAAAAGCTTAATCTATAAATTTTCTAGAGGAAAACCTACAAATGTATGTTGGCATAGACATAGATTTCTTAGAAGTAATAAAGGAAGCACTGAACTGAAAAGAAAAAAAATAAACTTCATTGAAATGAGAACATGTATTTATCAAAAAATATTCATAGGCAAACCACAGGCTGGAATAATATTTGTAATATATACAAATATTGTGTTCAGAATATATATATATAACAACCCATTAATTAAAAGATACATCAATAATAAAAACAAAACATTTAATAGATGGGAAATTTTTTTAAAGAGATATCCTAAAAGAATGCATGCAAATAGCTAATAAGCACATGCAAATGTGCTACTTTCTGCTCCCCTTTAACTGTATAGTCAGCAGCTGAGCAGGACTCACTTACCTGCTGTCCTATCCTCCATCACTGCACTGCTTGGACTTTTCCCCCTGAGTGATTCAAGCACTTACCAGGCCTTTTTACTGATCTCCCTCCTTGTTGGTCCTGGCTACCTCTGGGCAGAGCCTGTGCTTCAGAAGTTCAAGCATCAGCTGTGAGGCACCTCCAACCCTCTCTATCCAAGCCAATCCTATAGAACATCTCCTCTTAGATTCTAGAATCTGGTTATGCTCCCTATTGCTCTTTGTTTGCCAGTCCTGGCAGTGGTAGCTATCTTCTGCAGTTCATTAGTCTTTCTATTTTCTCAGTGCCATCCTTTTGCTCTTTCCCCTGGCAATATCTGAATAAATAATTCTCTGTTTTAAATATCCTCTTTAGGAGATATATAGCATACTATTTGTTTTTTTGGCTGGAACGATTTTGACACAGGGAACACATTTTATGTGATTTTGAAAAACTGTCTTGTCCATGTCATATCATACAATCTTGTACAATTAGCACATGCAAAACCCTGATGGCAGGGAATAGTCTTTTACCTATGTAGTCTTTTCTGCCAAAATTGTCTTTAGAAAGTCCCCTTTCCCAAGTTATAATTAAATCTAGGGATTCTGGCTGTTCCATTTTCACTACACAGGAGAGCCAATTTGAAACTATAGTCAACACCATAGACATCTCGGTTGGTCTAGCTTACATAATTTGGACTGAAAAATTAAAGTTGAGAAAACTTTGCACTTGATGGGTGCCAAAACCATTGAGCCCATATCAGCTTAAGACAAGAACGGAGCTTTCAAAAGATATTTTAAACAAGTGAGATCGAGATCTTGAAGCATTTTTTCAAAGAATTGTAACAGGAGAAGAAACATGGCTTTACCAGTACAATCCCGAAGACAAAGCACAATCAAAACAATGGCTGCCACAATCAAAACAAGGGGGCAGTGGTAAGTCCAAGCAAAAGCAGACTGGTCAAGAGCAAAGGTCATGGCAACAAGTTTTGTGGAATGCTCAGAGCGTTTTCCTTATCAATTCTCTAGAGGACCAAAGAATGACAGCATCTGCATATTATGAGAGTGTTTTAAGAAAAATAGCCAAAGCTTTTGCAGAAAAGTGCTCAGGGAAGCTTCACCAGATAGTCCTTCTTCACTATAACAATGTGCCTGCTCATTCCTCTCATCAAACTAGGAAATTTTGTGAGAGTTTCGAAGGTAAATCATCATTCATTCACCTTACTGTCCTGATTTGGCTCCTTTAAATTTATTTTTCTTTCTTAATCTTAAAATATTTTTAAAGGGCACCCATTTTAGACACACATCAAGACACAACATTGTTATTATTCAGAACAATGGAAACAAATATAAGATCCTAAAAGCTTCCAAAATGGAGGGAAAGCAAAAAGTTTCCACAAAGAAATCAAGAATCATAGAATTATGGAGCTTTTCAAGATTTGATCAATGCCTTCAAAATTTAGAGGAGTAGAGGTTTCTAAGTCAGTTGTCCACTTCCATGGAAATAGCAAATAAATAAAAATGTACATGAAGGCAATTTCAAACATGCAAGGTCAATAAAATTTGTATTTCATACACCTTTTCTCAAGAAAGAAATGTTCTATGTCTTGTGTCAAAATGACTAAGCAAACAAAGAAATAGGAAGATGAGTGATCCAGGAAATAGAGGATCCAGTACATGATAAAGGTAAAAGGAATTATTAATATTATGATGAAGAAAAATATCAAGATTTCAGATTTATGTCATAGGCAGAGAACATCCAGATGGGAGTGCGTCAAAAAGTCCCCGAAAAGTTTATATAAGAAGATGAAATTGAATCCTCATGATTGAATGTATTAAGAGAAGAGAAGAGATTTATTTAAAATATGGGAATAAACTGGAAAAGAATCAGGGAAAATATATGGAATAATGAGGAAAAAATGAAAAAGTTATGGAGATGAAAACAGTCCTAACATTTGATGGATTTGTTGTAAATAGGGTTTAAAAATAGGCTTAATAATGTAACACAAGAATACTAACTGAATTTGTGATTATAACCATATTGGTAAGGATGAGGATTGGGGAGTAGGAACAGAAGGGGTGTGTGTATACAGCAGTGGTGGGGGGTGAAATGGTCCAAATTCTAATCTTTTACACAATTCCAAGTTAGAAAACTATTCGAATAATCCACATTTGAAATGGAGGGACTACAAAAGCTAGGTAACTGTGAGGAAAGTCCAGGCTACGAAAGGAGATGGATTCTTTTGGACTTGGACAGTGGATGAAAATTGTGAGCGAGAAGAAGGTATTTATATTTAGTTTGTGGATTAGTTGCCCAGGTAGTGGTGAAAGTAATTTAGGAACTGATGACCTGAGAAGGAGCATCCCCAGGAATCATAAGAAAATGCTGAATTCAGTTTGGTGCATTTTGAGCTTGAGAACCATATAGGCATAAAATAGAATTTTTTTGAAAAGCAGTTATGGCAGAAGTCAAGGCTATCTGGACAGAATAGGGATTCTTAAATATGGGTAATTTGATACCCAAGAGACTTTTGACAATGGAGAAAATTTGGATTGTAACAACTTGTATGTGTGTGTGTTGGGAGACACTGCTGGTATCTAATGGGTAAAGCAGGGATGCTATGCATCTACACCGGACAGCCCCCCTCCCACACAAAAAATGATCTCATCCCAAATGTCAAAAGTGACAAGATTGAAAAACCTTGATTTATATGAATATGTATGAGGAACAGGAGAAGGGATACTAACATCTATCAGGCTCTTTTTATGGTCAGGTATATTTATAATACTTTATGTGAATTAACTCATGTAATTCCAACAACTCTATGAGATAGTGCTTTTATTAACCTCAATTAATAAACATACATAGGTATATGTTGATACAAATATACATATATGAAGGTCAGAGAAGTTTTATCACTTGTCTACAGTCTCACAATTAATAAATTAAGAAATCTGGATTTAAATTTAGTTTGACCGGAGGGCTCACGCCCACACTCACAACCACTTTATTACCTCTTTTTATGGAGATGACAACTACAGGCATGTGTAGTGTTCAAGCTATGATCTAATATTGACATTTTGCTAACGCAATCTCAGAAGCTTGTAGAAAAGTAGTAGAAATGGCAAGGGATTGAGCCCCTGGACTAACCTCTTGTAGAATGGAGCATAGACTCCAGGGGATGAGGAGGAGGATGCCAGAGGGCGTCGCCCACTACTCTGCATTGGGGATTAGAATTTCCCAATGTGAAATTATAAACTGAGTAGAACATGGAGTCCCAAAGGATCTGATGTTATATCTGTGACACAAAGATGTAAACACAGGTTCAGCAATATCTACCCTCAAGGGGCTCATCAAATGTGGGAGGAAATCATAAAGCAGAGAATAATTTTCTGTGCTGCTAACCAATTCTTCCAGAAGTGTATAGTGTGAGATAGATTTTCATTTGAGTTAGTTCTTTAGGAGGTTCCTACAAGGAAGCTGTTTTCCTCCTTGCAGGTGAAGAGAATCATATGGGAAATTCTCAAATAGAAATCATGGCATATTCCCTAGAACACCTCTTCCAGGATGCCAAAGATTGAAGACTGTTCTGATGGCTGTTACTTCCTTCTCTTCAGAAACCTTGACTCCCTCAGGACAGTGGGGAGGAAGGGGCTTAAGTTCCGGCAGTAGTCAGTCCTCCAAGGATAGGAAGGTGAGCATTGAATCACTTCAATCTTGATAATTTCTTTTCAAACACAAAACTATATAAATCATAGGTTCTAGGGGGAACACTATTTATTGCTGTTTTCAGGAGATGGGAGGGAAACATGTGTAGAGACATTGAGAGGACTACTAGCATTCTCTTACACAGAGAAACAGGGTTGGGGGAAGGAGGAAATGGGAAATACTTGGGAAGTATCAGGAAAAGTCTTCTTTTTGGATGCCTTGTTGTGTATTTTGAGAGAACCCTGAGATTGTAAACCAGCGGATTCTGCTCTCCCTCTGGATATGAAAAGGAGGGCCTATTGTTAATGTCGCCTTCTACCCTGTTCCTGCAGATCACACCTGTGGGGTGAATGGCTGTGGAAAATGACTCTTCAGTGACAGAGTTTGTTCTCATGGGATTAACAGATCAACCTGAGCTCCAACTGCCCCTGTTTTTTCTGTTCTGCATGAACTACATGGTCACTGTGGTGGGAAACTTGAGCTTAATCAATCTAATTTGCCTGAATCCACACCTTCACACCCCCATGTACTTTTTCATCTTCAATCTGTCCTTCATTGATCTCTGTTATTCATTTGTCCTTACCCCCAAAATGCTGATGAGCTTTATTTCAGAGAGGAACACAATCTCCTTTACAGGATGCATGACTCAGCTATTTTTCTTCTGCTTTTTTGTACACTCTGAGTGCTATGTGCTGACAGCCATGGCCTATGATCGGTATGTGGCCATCTGTAAGCCCCTGCTGTACACGGTGGCCATGTCCCCTCAGATCTGTTCTCTGCTGATGTTGGGGTCATACCTGATGGGGTTTGCTGGTGCCATGGTGCACACAGGGTGCATGATCAGACTCACCTTTTGTGATTCCAACATCATCAACCATTACATGTGTGACATCTTCCCCCTCCTCCAGCTCTCCTGTAGTGGCACCTATGACAATGAGCTGGTGAGTTCTGTTATTGTGGGTATAGTTGTCATAGTATCTAGCCTCATTATCACCATCTCTTATACTTTGATTCTTTTCAATATCCTTCACATGTCTTCAGCTAAGGGTTGGTCCAAAGCCATCAGCACCTGTGGCTCCCACATAATAACTGTTGGGCTCTTTTATGGATTTGGGCTGCTCACTCATGTTAAACCATCATCTGCTGGGTCTGTGGGCCAGGGGAAATTTTTTTCAGTGTTTTACACGAACGTGGTTCCCATGTTGAACCCTCTCATTTATAGCCTGAGGAACAAGGATGTCAAAATTGCTCTGAAGAAAACCCTGAAGAAAATGAGAAACTGAGCAGAGCCAGTGGTGCTGCCTTAGTCCCTGTCTCCAGTGCTGGGTCTTTCTCTCCTCTTCCTGTTCCTCCTCATCCTATTCCTCCTTTTCTTATCTTCATCTTTCTTTCTAAAGTCTTTTTGGCTAGATTTCTACTTTAATATCTCCTTATCTCTCAACGTGCAATGTAACCATATGGGCCTGTTCTTGGACATGAGAGTCATCTCAGTCCGATAGTGGCCCCAACCAGATTATTATTCCCCTTTCCAGATGGAGATCCTGAGCTGATAGCCTTTCCTATGTAAGGATAGTGCTACTGCCTATTTTTTCTGATGTATCTCCCCCATCCAAGAAAAGCCACAGAGTTGGATGCTGTCTGATAGGTTTATTTCTTTCTTGCTTTCTCTGAAGCAATCATGTAGAGCCCTTTCTTGTTTTTAGGGTTTTATTAATTATTTATTACTGTATTAAAACAGAGAAAGGATGACAAAAATTGTGTGGACATGAGTAAAGTTGTAAAAATTTCCATTTACAGAATGTTTCCTGGTTCTTTTAGTAATGGTTCTTATTATGAATTTTTAGCCTCATCTCTGTAATGAGGTTGTATAGCTTATTGTACTGAGGTCCTACTCTTATGGATGTTTGTGAATGGACTGGGCTCATCACCCTGCTCTCCAATAATGGCAACACATTGGTCTTCTTATATTGTGCCATAATAAAATTGACATTGTCACTCACTTGTACCTATACCTGCAATTGTGCTTAAAAATTACACAGTAACATTCTTGGTGATAGAATAGTGTCGCATGCTTTGTCACGATTCTTTGTTTGCCTAGATGTGTAACTAGGGTTTTCATATGGAAAGGAAGATCAGAAGATCTAACACTTCTTTTAAAACATAAAAAAATGTATATGGCATGTAACTTGTCTGTTAGGATCTATTATTTCAAATGTAAATTTGACTTCTCCCTTTTGTTTCTTAAAATAAAAAGTTAAATATGGTTTGTGCCACTTTTCTTGTTGTTACAAAATCTATTACACATAAGTCTCCTGATCCTGTTCTCAGATGAGGATATGGTTTCTGACTTCTTCAGTGCCACTCAGATAATGATATCAAGTCTGATTTTTGAACTCATTGTTCATTCCATGAATAAATGGAAGAAGGGAAAGGATACTGGTGAGGGAACAAAGAGAACTTCTGGAGAGTTACTTCAGAATGGGCCTGAAAGTGGGGATTTTTGGGGAATGATGCCCTCAGCCAAGATGCCTATGGCAGAGAGATGATCTTCAAGCTTTCATGTCCAACTAGAAAAATGCACATTCTTTTGCAGAAGTTTGTTTTCAAGCTGGGATAAACAGGGTGGGCTACAAAGAAATGTTCCATGCAGACATTTTCTGCAATAGTGACCATTTCCTGGGATGGTGAGTCTGGGGAGTTTGAGTTAAGCCTTCCCAGAGAGGCATGTCAGGATTTCCATAGTAATACAGGTACTGTAGCAAGCGTATTAGGTATTATGCCATCATTTGGAAACAAAAAGAGGTATTCATAATAAAAACAATGCAAAATCAGTCTTCAAAATTTTATTTTATGTGTTACACAGAAATTAAACTGTCAATTGCCCGTTGCTATTTTGCATGAATTCAGGGCAAGATGCCCTCCAAAAGATATGTCATAGACATGGGAACTAGGTAATTATTGCTATAAGTTTTATATTTATACAAAGATAGCACAATGTTTAAACAGTTCTAAAACATTGGTTTATAAGAATAGCCTTAGAAGATGATGCTGCCAGTTAAATAGTTTATTTCAATGTGATTAAATTTATTGCTATTAGACAAAGAGTCATGTATTTATATTTATTATAGGATTTATGTCAATATTTTTTATTTCAGAATATTACAGGGTTATGAATGTTTTGGTTACATACATTGATTTCGTTCCATTTGAGTCAAAGTTATAAATGAGCCCATCCTAAAGATAGTGGGCATTGTACCCATTAAGTGTGAATTTACCCATCCTCTCCTCCCCCCACCTGCTTGATTGTTTAAAACTTTTATTTCTTTTTATTTATTTACTTATTTTGAGACAGAGTCTTGCTTTGTTGCCCAGGCTAGAGTGAGTGCGGTGGCGTCAGCCTAGCTCACAGCAACCTCAAACTCCTGGGCTCAAACAATCCTGCTGCCTCAGCCTCCCGAGTAGCTGGGTCTACAAGCACGCGCCACCATGCCCAACTAATTTTTTCTGTATGTATTAGTTGGCCCATTAATTTCTTTCTATTTATAGTAGAGACGGGGTTTCGCTCTTGCTCAGGCTGGTTTCGAACTCCTGACCTCGAGTGATCCACCCGCCTCGGCCTCCCAGAGTGCTAGGATTACAGGCGTGAGCCACCGTGCCAGGCCTAAAACTTTTATTTCTAAACAGAATCTGAATGCCTAGTCTTTGCCTCTATCCTCCTTTTGCCTACATTCATTATAGTGCCTGGTTAAACAGAAAGCTTAAATGTGTTTTATTTGTATTTGTTCTTAGAAGTTCACATGCTTTAATAAAGACATACAACATCTATGTCTATAAACCCATGTTACTTAACAAAAAAACACAACGTGATGTACAAAGCATAACATATACTTTGTGATCTGAGTACTATATTGGCATTGCCAGCAATACTTTGTGGAAAATGAATCATCAAATAGACTATGAAGTCAACAGGCTTATTTTTTCAGGTTGAATTTCTTATATTGATCTGGCAAAAGTAATTGATTTAACTTTCTAATTAAAACCACATTTATAATATATATAACTAAAATTATTTAAATTAAAGCCCATTATTTTTTAAAAGTCAATGTTGGGAGGAATTTAGATGTAAAATAATTTTAGGACATATAAGCTTATTTTACAATTATTGAATATTTGGAATTTTTATATGTGTAATTTGGTAAAGATGTAGATATTGTTAAATACATTTTTCTTATCCTCTTGTATCATAGTTATTCCATACACACAATTTGAATTGGAAAAACTTTATTTACATTCAACCACATATTAACATAAAAACATAACAAATGTTCTTTTGTTACATAAAAGTTTAAGTACATTAAGTATAATTAGTTTTAAGTGGATTAAGTAACATTATCTTAAAAGGGCAATGTGCCAAGGTTTCACTCTCAGGGAAAACATGAAGTTAGAAATTTTAGAACTATATATTTTGATGCTCAATGGAATGGTGTCTGTTTACTAATCAAGTTCATTTCATCACCCAAATGAACTGAAATATTTTCAGGTCTTTGATTTGACATAGCAGCAAGGATGACTTATTAATAGATAGGTTTTTAGATAATTCTCTCCAAAGTTCCTGTTTGTGAATAAAGTTTGGGACAGACCTGTCTAACTGCTGAATAAGCAGATGGAATGGAGAATGGATTGGGGGTTACTATACTGCTCCTAGGCCAGTTGGGTTTGGCCTGGTACAGTTGGAGTCTCAGTCTGGTTGCTCTGGCAGATTGTAGCCTGGGAAAGGGGCTCCTGGGAGGCCGGGGTACGGAGGTCTGATGAGACAGCACACCATGGCTTTGGCAGCAGCAAGAACAAAGAGACAAAATAGCACTCACTGTTCCATTTTAAAAGCCCAACTAAAGGGATGCTGTACCACGTGGACACTAGCCACAGCTGTTACACACACAGGGGGACGGTGTCCACTGTGGAGAAGAGGCCCATAGGGCTGCTAGTGGAGTTTTTGTTTCAAGTGCCCAAGGAGCACAATGCTCAGCCTGAGGTGCTGCTAACTCCTCTTCCCAGCTGATGTGTCCTGGTATAGTCTAAGTTAGTATTATTGCTCCAAAAATGTGGAAGTTTTCTGCAAATTAGGGCATTTTTGTTACTTTGAAATATATCAAAAGAAGAAGTGAAACTAGTTCCACACTGATTCAGTATAAAACTTATCAATGAAGGAAAAGACCTCTTAACATTATTTGAATAGTGATCTATGGATTCAGTGTGATCCCTGTTAAAATACCAACATCATTTTTCACAGATTAAGAAAAAATAATTCTATGCTTCCTATGAGAGGACCCTGTAAAGCAAAAGCAATTATAAGAAAAAGGAACAAATTGAGAGGCATCAATTTTCCAGACTTCAAGCTATACCACAAGGATATAGTAACTAAAACAGCACGTGACTGGCAGAAAAACAGAGACATAGACCAATGGACCAGAACTGAGAATCCAGATATAAAACCATGGTTTTCTGTTCTGGTTTCTCTGTTCTGTTCTGGTTCATGGATTCCCAGTTCTGGTCTATTTAGATTTATGGCCGTCTAATCTTTGACAAAGCAGACAAAAATATACATGGGGGAAAAGAATACTTATTCAATAAATGGTGCTGGGAGATTTGGATAGCCACCTGCAGAAGACTGAAACAGGATCCGCACCTTTCACCTCTCACAAAAATCAACTTATGTTGGATAACAGACTTAAACATAAGGTGTGAAACTCTAAGAAATCTAGAAGAAAATGTTGGAAATACTCTTCTAGACATTAGCCTAGGCAAAGAGTTTATGAAGAAGACCCCAAAGGCAATCACAGCAACAACAAAAATAAGTAAATGGGACCTCATTACATTAAAAAGCTTCTGCATGGCCAAGGAAGCTATCATAAGAGCAAACAGACAACCTACAGAACGGGAGAAAATATTCCCATGTTACACATCTGATAAAGGGTGGATGACTAGAATTTATATAGAACTCAGGAAAATCAGCAAGAAAAAAATCAAACAACCCTCTCAGAAAGTAGACAAAGGAGATGAGCAGAAATTGTTCAAAGGAAGACAGAATAATTGCCAACAAACATATAAAAAGATGCTCAACATCTCTAATCATCAGGGAAATGCAAATCAAAACCACAATGAGATATCACTTATCTCCAGTGAGAATTGCTTTTATCAAAAAGTCCCCAAACAGTAAATGTTGGCATGGATATGGAGAGATAGGAACACTCATACTGGTGGGAGTATGCTGGTGGGACTGCAA